CCTGATAGCATCGTTGAAGCTCCGAGTATGAACATCTTCAAAAACAGACTAGACGAAGCTATGCAGGAGCATATGTTCAGTCTTAAAATGCCTAGCAAATTACGGAGCAGGCAATAAGTCCAGCAGCTATCTCAATCAATCGACAGTTATGGAAAGATCGGGTTCCAAAGGCCGGATCCCTTGTGAATCAAGTCACGAAAAGTTCAAGAATCGGCAACAGGCCATGGGCCAATGTCTTCAACGCCGACACTTCTATTCTATAATTCTTCATATATTCCATTTTTATGAACAGCAGTTCAAGTAGAAAACCGGTTCCGGTTTTTCCTCGAGCGTCCCGGTTCCATAATTCTTATTGTATGAGGGCGCTTTGTGAAACAAGTTAAACAACGTAGCCTAATGATATTTCATTTTGAGAGAGAGTCCGCGGCGTTCATACGGCAAACATCTTCAGATTGTGCTCTGTGAATCGTGATCAACGTAACGATTTCTTTCGCGTTTAAACATAATATTGTAAACTATTACGGTTATACATTCACTAACTTGATTTTGTATTGTACTTTTCTTTATACCACGAGTATATTAGCCATGGCTTAGTGTTCAATTTCAAGAACCCGGCTGGCTTTCTCGACTCTCGCCCCTCCCCCCTCCTCTTCTCGTCACGGGATTGACGGGAAGAGGCAGTAGGTAGGACTGGAGTAGGTTTGCGAGCCAGCTAGAAATTAGATCAGTACAGCTGTACAGGTAGCAAAAACTGGCTTGGTTTTGTCATTATTATTAATTCAATCATTATTGTATTTATGTGTGTTGTATAACTTGTATTAATTGCATTGTTTATGTACTTCATTGATTGATTGTAGCTATCTGTATCACAGTAGGCTATTCATCAACTCGTATAAGTGGTATAACTGTACCAGAATTTTGTGTACGGTTGTACCTGTATAGGCTGTATTGCAATTTATAGTCCAGTGTATGCTACATATTCAACTTGATTCTTAATATTACTGTTTTTTTTCTGTAATAATTCCATGACCATCTGACCTAAGTATTGGATGACCATTGTTGTTTCTCCTGTGTTTATCTGAAAAATTTTGTCTGCATCAAGATACCTGATACCATAATACCAGCACCATGCTGGGATCTGATCCCGACCTGCCTGAAGATGATGAAGAGGACATTATCCCAGAAACGCCAACACAAGGTAGGGTAAACGGCTAAACGCGGTATATTTCTACACATTAAGGACGCATTGAGAAATGAAAAACTATAAAAAAAACGTATGCGTTATGTAAGTTCTGTTGCCTTCACATGACTCTCAAAACACTTCACTACGCGTCAGCAACGATGAAACGTCACAAAATGTTGCCATATTTATTAAAAAGCCTTTAGAATGGGAACCTACCAGGCTACCAAATCCCTATATTCCGTCACTGTGTGTGGCAATATTCGACACGTGGTAAGTCGTATTGCGTCAGCGCTTCAAATTTAACTGATACGTAATGCCGACATCAACGTATTCAAATTCTGTTTGCTGTGTGAGCTGTATTGGGATACAACACAGCTTTGAATTAGAACACTAACGAATATTGAACACTACTTAATTACGTTTTAATTAACAGCTATTAGGCTTTTAATTAAGCAAATTCCAATTTTTGTACAAAGCTAAGACCTAGTGTTTTTGCAGTATTTCGACACGCAAATGTATGACGTCACCATTTCAACCATCAATGAACGCCTGGAACTAAAACAAAGCTTAATATAAAGGAAAAACTAGAGAAGTGACAGAATTACCTACGATGTCGTAATATACCGCGTTTACCCTACCTGTACCTCAAGTTCTCATGTGATCCCGCCACCTGGCTTGTTGCTAGATGACATGGAAATCAGGAAATGAATGAAAAGCCTTCAAATGTGAAATGGACTTGATGGTTACAACTTTTCTGCTAGAGCTGGCACAGAAACACATCAGGTGACAAAACCCCAAAACTTAAGTGGACGCAAACAACAGAAGAGCATGGAATCAGAAGAAGAACTAGACAATTCAATGAATTCATTCAGCCCCCTAACAGGAATCAGTCCAAAACCAGTTGGACCATTCTCAAACAATAAGCACCTTAACCCTTTAGCGGGCAAGCATTGAAATATCCAGAAATTAAAATTTCAGAAACCATTTCAAGAAAGTAAGTAGTATTATACAATATATTTATTCCCATGAATTTTTGCAAAGTTTGCCTATTGAAGGTTTAAATCGCACTTGAAGAATTCAATAAATGCGATCAGTACACAAAATTTTTGTTTATAATTAAAATTCAGTTTATGCAAATGAAAAATTAGAAACATAAAAATTTAATTTAATTAAATTTAATCAAGTTGCCATAACAAATAGATATATATATCGATACTTCTACCTTTTGAAGAAAATGCGGAAAGAGCGTCAGTTCCATTGTCC